ATTGGTTACACAAATAGTTTTGATATGTAAAGTAAATATTTCAAGTCTTGTATCTCATTATTGTACTAGGTAAACATATTCTAAATTTTTCACCAATTATAATCCTTATGATATAGATATACATTATGCAAAAAACTCAATTTTGGCCAGGAGTTCTCAGACCCCATATTGCTGGTGGACATCTCATATGTAATTACGAAATCAATTACGGGTGATGAAATCAATTATGAATGACGAAATTAAATGACACCTATCATTTATCTTGTTATACTAGTATAATGACATAATTTGTCAACTTTTTTTAGCATTATAGAATTTATTCTGTTATAGCAACATGTCAGTATAATGGGAGAACCAATCAAAATCATTCTAATCATTTCTGAAAAAACATAAGGAAATAAAACTTACACCTGGATCAAAATTGACCAGCATCATGGAAAATTCTGATAACACTTCTGTATAATGCTGGCCAATTTTGACCCAGCATAAGTTTTAAATTTCCTGATAGAATTGTATAAAACATGAATGAAATAAAAAAAAATATATAATAAAAATAAAATTACAAAGTCACATGATAATGATTCTCATATGACTTCTATATGAACTCCCGTTATAATGTCATTCTCGTCATTTTTGCTTGTACAGAGAGTGTTGTTATAACAGGAGTGACTTGTATTATGATATTTCCAACAATTAATTCGTCATTATTCGTAATTAATCATCTGTAATTAATTTCATCACCTATAATATGGTAATTAATTTGGTAATCAATTATGATAATTACATATTATGTACTTACTGTAATTAGGCAATTGCCATCCCATGTATAGTCAAGTCAATACACCTTAAAGTTATACATGCCAATTTTTAAAAACCCCGTTATCACTAGATGCTTAATGGAATCTTTATCATATTATAACATAACAACTAAATAATTTTACTTTGGATTTAATAATTTTGAACATCACAAATGATGGGTGGGGTTTATGAACATACCCCATTGCATCCAAAAAAGTGTTCAAGATTTGCTTTCCCTAAGAGTTGCCCTGAAATATATTAACATTTTAGGAAAAACTGTGTGGGGTAACTTGATGCATGTGACTATTTTTATTTAAATAATTAATATTAATATTAATATTAACAAGATTCCTAATGAATGATAACTCAAACATTTCATCAGTATATTTAACCATTATGAAAAATTTATTGAGTTTTATGGTAATTTTATGATTATAATTTGAAGCTATTGATTATTTTTTGATAGACTTGTAAAGCAGTTAAAAATAAACATAATACATAATTTTGGAGGTTATTTAATAAAGCCTTTGCCAAGTTTTCTTCATAAAAAACATTATTTTTTAATTTATTTTATTTTTTCAAAGAAAAGATCTGCATAAAATTGGCCAATAATTTTTGTTCTAGATTGTCTATCATTACAGTATTTAGAAATTCATATTTGGTAATATCCCTGACTGTATCAGCCCATGCGGGCAATTTCTGAAAGGTTTTACCTTTATCTCTCAGTTCATAGGGATAGAGTCTCAGCCTGGGAAAACATATAAGAGGGATATCCCCCCTTATCAATCTTATTGATCTTTGGGTATCAGTTGGATAATTCACTCAAGATCTATGGACCAGGTGATCAGAGATATATCCATGCATTTATATTTATCCCTTGCCAGGCTAAAGCTGTATCCCTCTGAACACAGGGATAAAGGTCAGACCTACCCAGAAATCATCCGCATATGGTGGACTGTATTATTTCCATTTGGTGATAACATTTTTAGTAAAGTAATTGTTTATAATGCAGTGGCTAATGAAAATTTTATTTATAAAGATAAAAGCTTTTGGATTTTTTTTTAAGTTCAGAAGACTGAGATTTAGAATATTTGAAAAGCTATACAAAAATTACAAAAATTACAATAAAGATAATGTTAAACATTGTGTAAAGTTGATAATTCCATATCCTGTATTACTTACATACAAACCTAAATATTCATTATCAAAAGAATTTATTATATAAGCTAGATAATAGTATATTTGTTGAATTAGTTGTATCAGATACTTTAGAATTATACAAGCATTTGAGCAGTGAACTAACTAATTTTGGATCATAAATGGAACACTTTTGGATTCAGATATTATATTGGAATATTGATTTTTTATATAATGTTTTTATTAAGCTTTGCTATTGCAACTTCTCCAGTTCAGTTATCTGATGATAATAGAAATTCATTATTAATAACAACAATTGTCCTTGGAACAATTCATCTCACAGTAGAAGTTAGACAATTTATTTGGAAACCATCAAAATATATAAAAGATTTCCAGAATTATTTTGGTATGGTGTTATTTATTATTATCATTTTATTAATTAATAATATTATTATTATTTAGAGCTAGGTGTCTATTCCTTACCAATTGTTAATTCTATCTTATTATTACATTATAATTATCCACCATTTGCTCAACTGATTTCTGTCTGTATCAAATTTATATTATATTTAGGATTAATATTATTTTTAAGAGTTTTTAATCTACTTGGAGCATATGTTGCTATTATTATAGGAGTTGCTGAAAACAGCTTTCAGTTCTTAATCATAATATTTATATTTATTTTAAGCTTTTCACATGCTTTTTTATTATTAATGAAACCAAATCAAGATTTTGATTTGAGTACACTTAATTTCAACAGTGATCTCAACAATTCTTGGAACCTTGTTAATAGATATTATACATATTTTGCAAACAACAATTCATATAATCAAGATTCATTTCTTGTTCAGCTACCTGGTGACAATATAAACATATTTGCACGATTTCCTTCTTCAATTCTGGCAATGTATAATTTCCTTGCAGGTAGTAATTATATATATTTCATTAAAATAATAATTAAGTTAAATAATTTAATTTTGATTGACTTTTTTCTAGGAGATAAGGAAGTACTTGGAAATATGGTGTCACAAGATGATGCATATCTTGTAGTATTAATAGTTGCATTTTCATTTATAGTTGTGTTTTACTTGATGAATCTATTTGTTGGTTTGCTTATCAATGAATTTGAATGTTATCCCGTAAACGGTTAATCGGCTATTGATAGCTGATAAGATTTTTCTGATATAAAAAATTTTTTCTGAGGACATCACTTTCTAATACAAAAATGATCTTTGAGATTCAGCCGATTAACCTATAAATAAAAATCCAGTTGTTGTCCTTGTGGTTTTTGTAAAATCTTCTTTAAAAGTTGGTCAATTGACTGTTTTTACTTTGCTGGTTGTTAATTGACCAATAAGAATGAACAAAACTTTAATTTGTGTTACCATTAAAGAATACTCTGACCATTTAAGAGATAATAAAAAAGAAGCATTTTTAGCTAAAAAGCAAAAATTATCATGGAGATTGAATTACTTTATTTACTCCCTAATCAACGTCATTGGAGAAACTTGTTTTGAGATATATTGTAAATATAATAATAATCAATTAAATCATTTTGACCAGATCTTACGATGCACCAATTGTTGATATTTGTAAAAAAATTAGAGAAGCAAATGATAGCAATGAGGATACAGAATATATTCCTGATAGGCTTAGAGAACTTGCAGGAGTGTCTAAAAAAACAGAAAATGATTTTGATTCAATTGAAGCCAAACTTGCTGAAATGTCTAAAAAAAACAGAAAATGACTTTCAACAAATTGAAGCCAAACTTGCTGAAGTGTCTAAAAAATGGAAAATGATTCTCAACAAATTGAAGACAAACTTTTAAATAATATGAGGAAAATAGAAGATAGTCTTGAAAACAATATGAGGGAAATAGAAACAAATCTTAAGTATGGCCTCAAGGAAATGGAAAATAAATTAAATCATCAATTGTTGATTCAAATGCAAATTTTATTGAATGAAATTAAGAATTCAAAAAATAATTATTTGATTTATTATTTTATTTTATTGTTATTATTTTATTATTATTAGAAGTGTGTCACTTGCCTATGTGCAACCACATGTCTTGTTTACTGATGCAGTTTTTTTGAAATGGGACAAGAATCAATAAATGGACTAATTTTACATAATTGTTGTGCCTTGTACATCACTTGTTGTTCCCAGGGGTACATATTACTTTACCAGCAATCACTTTACCAACATATTATTTTACCAACAATCACTTTACTGAAAGTTCATTTACCAACAATTCATTTTAACAACAGTTCATTTTAACAACAGTTCATTTTAACAACAGTTCATTTTAGCAACAGTTTAAGTTTACATGTATTTTGGGTGGAGAATGTTTAAAATAATTCATATATTATTATGGTTGCACTAACAGCTATATAAACACAAATTTTTCTTCTGTATTAATAATGTCACCAATTATTATTTGGGAGTTGATGATAACACTATAAATTTATAATTATGTGTGTGGATCAGAATGAATTGGCTATTATTAATGAATTAGTTTTATTAGCAAATAATTTTGGTTTAGTGATTTAAGAAAAATGTTTTATTTAGTCAAAACTGAAACTAATTTCATCAGAAAATTTTTCTGACACAGATTTACATAATTATTACACTATTTATGTAAGTTTATGGCAGGCCTGTAATATTATGCAAATAAGCATACAAAAATTATGCAATTATTACATCAAAGTGTAAATATTACATAATTTTTATGCAAATATTACAACTTTACATATTAAAATTTACAGACGTAATATTGCGGCGGGAAAAATTTCCTGATGCAAGTAAATGTGACCAATCAAGATTTATAGTTGCCTTCTTGTTAGCTAATCCTTTTGGAGTTTTTATATAGCTTCCTCCTCTGGCAATTTTGTACTGTGCTATTTGAACATCAATATATAATCCTTTCTTAAATTTAAATTCAGATGCATAGTGAATAAATTTATCAATCTCATAAGATTTAGATATAAGTTCATCATTAATATCACTTTCATTCAAGATGTAATCCATTGTAGTTTTGAATGGATGTTTTCTCATATATGTAACACCACCTTCATCTATTTGTAGAATAGTCCTCTCCATAGTTGCTTGTAATAACATCAGGAAATTTTTTCTGTCACAGATTTGCATAATTATTACACTATTTATGTAAGTTTACAGTGGGCCTAGTGTTCCATGTCGCAATCCAAAAAAGGAAACAAAATGGTTGTAAAGGTGGTTGCAACCAGTGGTTGCAATCGTTTTTATATGACGCAAAGATGGTAGCAACCATCATCAAAAGTTGCAGCTGGTATCCTTAAGTGGGCCCTGTAATATTATGCAAAAATCATATAAAAATTATGCAATTATTACATTGAGTATAAATATTACATAATTTTTTATGCAAATATTACAACTTTACATATTAAAATTTATGGATGTAATATTACAGCAGGGAAAATTTCCTGATGTTGTTTTGTTCGTTTTGTTCATTTTGTTCATTTTGTTCATTTTGTTCGTTGTTTTGTTTGTTTTGTTCATTTTGTTTGTTGTTTTGTTTGTTGTTTTGTTTGTTGTTTTGTTTGTTGTTTTGTTTGTTTTGTTCAAATTATTGTTACTCAAATTATTTTGTTTTATTCAAATTATTATTACTCGAATTATTTGTTTTATTCAAATAAACATTTGAATAGAAAACCCTAACTGCTACTCAAGATATGATATTATTTTATATAGTACAAAGAGCTTTAGAAATATTTAACCAATAACTTAATTACAATATAAAGAGCTATTGGTTTATTAAACTAAGCTAATAATTAACTAAAAAAAGGATTAATTTTAAAAGAATATCTGATAAATATTGGCATTTTCAATATTACTAATAGGCTTTTAGACTATATGACAAAATATTATTAACTTATCAGTATGCTAATACCTTGATTGTTTTTTTAAAGAATAATCAGATTCTGATATTTGCTGATACCTCATTTCCCAATTTGGCATTATTTGACCAGTAAAGAGAGAACCAATAGATTATATATAAGCAAAGAAAAATGGGACCTTAAATTAGCACAAAAGAATTTTAAATCATGCACAAACATAACAGCTTGATAGCTTGATTGACATAGTGGTGCAGTCTTGCAATTTTTTTATTGTATATTTTAAATATAATTGATCATGTTTTTAACAAAACAAACATGACTTGGTTATTTAATCATTTCCTTCATTTCCTTGAATGTGAATGTCTCCATCCATCAAATATTGGGGTGTCCCACATCATATGATTTACAAACATAGTCGATCACATATATAAATTTTTATTAAGAAGGATTTTTCATCGATCTTTTTTTTAATAGTAAACTTTGAATGAAAATAACTTTAAAGAACAGAGGTACAGATTCCAAATTAAGTTTAAGATATATTAGAAGGATAGGGAAATGTCCTTATAGAGAGTTTTTTTTGATTTTAATATAAATCATATCACTTATTCTAAGCTAAAAGAAAAAAAGGAAAGTTATGTATATATGATACAAAATTTTATGCAAATAAAATTGTAAAAGGCTCTCTATACACCTAAACAGCATCAAAATGTGAATCCAAACCATGTCATTTTATTTAGATACGTCATATAGTTTAAGAGTTATTTCGATTTTTGTAAACTTGCGAATATATTTTGAGTAAATTTTAGTGTTATGCCTAAATTTTATAATTTCTATATAGTACTAGCCAAACAAACAATTTACAGCTGTTAAAAATATTTTTATACAATTTCTCATAACTTCTTTATTTATAATAATAATTATTCTAACCAAACTTGTGTTTTGTTATTATATCTTGAACTGCTAGTAAAGTAATTTTTAAAATTTTTTTGTGGCACCAAAAAAATAATAATAAATCTGCAAAACCCCTAAAAATCCTTATTAATGAAAATTTATATATGTGATCGACTATGTTTGTAAATCATATGATGTGGGACACCCCCAATCAAATATTGATGATGGTGATGATTATTATTCAAACCATTTGATATCATCATTGACATAACAAACAATTGCATCACCCAGGTAGTAATGATACCAAGGCCATGCATGAATGAAACTTTAACAATATGTGCCTACCAGATCTCTGGGGTTCACAAAATAAATTACTTTTCCTGATTATCAATTATGGTTGCTCATGAATAATAAATCTGAT